TAGGAATAATTTGCAGTGACTAATTCTTTCCTGGTTCCTTTTCTCTGAAGAGGACTTAAAAACAGACTTATTTTCTCATATTCATTATTTGAAATAATTCAGCTACCTTTTGTAAATTACGTTTGTTCCGTATCTTGTTATTCAATAATTGAGATTAAAGCTTTCTACTTAAAAAACTTCACAAAAGGCATATTAGAATGCAAGAATGTGAATGCCCATGTCTCCTATCAGTTTGTAGTAAAACCTGAGTGCTAACATTGGTGTATAAACCAAATAAATGTTTTAATGGCCAAAGCAAAATTCTAGGCACATCCTAACAGATACGTCACAAGTGCTTTTATCCCACAGTGATTACCAAAGAGGACACTAGTATATATCATCTTTCCTACACATTGCCTAAAATCACACTGCTAGAACATGAACTTGTACAAATCTTTAGTTTACCTGCACATATAGTTCTGCACACTGCAGAATCTCGTTCATTTAAACAACCTAACAAAACAAGCCACAAGTCTGAGCTGAGGTCATTTAAGTTCTGGACATGATATCACACCTGTCTGTAGAATATTGGCATCTGAGATTTCATGTTAACTTTTATTTCCACTTGCTCATAGAAACTCAATGTCTTAACACTTGCAAAAGGGTGATTCAGGACAATGACTGGGAAAATATTGTCCCTCACCTTCCAAGTCAGTGGCTATGAAATCTAATACCAGTTTTGTGGCCTAGTAAAGTAACACAGTTTCAGTTTGATTTGCACTGTGCACCTATCCACAGCAGGTAGCCACATCAGTAAGTGAAACATTCAGCCACCATGTAAGGTTACCACCTTCTTATTCTTAGAAATGGTCCAGTTGAAATCCCGTGATGGAGAAACAACAGGAAAGCAGATACAACTGTGATGCAAAGTTTACCTGACCTGGGACTGATAAGCAGAGTTAATAACTTATACGCTAACATGTAAGAAAGAAACGTAGGATGGTTTGGGTTGGAAGAGGCCTTAAAGTTCATCTAGTTCCAAACTCTCTGCTATGGGTAGGGATACCTTCCACTAGACCAGGTTGCTCCAAGCCTCATCCAACTTGCTCTTGAACACTTCCAGGGATGAGGCATCCACAACTTCCCTGAGCAACCTGTTCCAGTGCCTCAGCACTCCCACAGCAAGGAATTGCTTCCTAATATCTAATTTAAATCTACCTTCTTTCCATTTGAAATAGTTCTCCCCTTGTCCTATAACTCCAAGACCTTGTAAAAAGTCCCTCCTCAGCTTTCTTATAGACACCTTCAGGTATGGAAGGCCACTATAAGGTCTCCCAAGAGCCTTCTCTTCTTCAGGCTGAACAACCCTAACTCTCTCAGCCTGTCCACATAGGAGAGGTGCTCCAGCCCTGAGATCATCTTCGTGGCCTTTCTTTGGACTCAACCCAACAGGTACATGCCCTTCTCATGTTAGAAAACTTGCTTGTTTTAAAAACCTAATTAAAATAGAAAGGAAGGCTGAGGCAAGTACTTCACCTTACAAATTTGTATGTTTCACATTTATCAGTATTTCCACGTCTCCAGCACCTTCTGGAAGGAACTACAGCTTTGCACAGAAGGCTTTAAATTAAAATTACTCAAGACTGTAAAGGCAACACTGCCACCTGCTGTTCCGGATGAGCCTGTTTAGGTATCACCAAGTTTTTCTAACAAAACCGCACTTCCTGTCTCACCTAATCGGCCCCCCTGCAGTATTCTGGTAACTGCCATTCTTCTCATCAAGATGCTTACTGTCACTTCATTTGACCCTTTTTCACTATGAACAAACTGAAATGCTGGAGAATCTATGTCCTGCCATGCCTCCTGTTTCCTTGTTATCTCATTTTATTAAGTGGAGTCCAAATTATTTCTAGACCCACAAGCAGTTTGTAAATTCCAAATTAACACATTTTCAATTCCCACCTTTTTGAACAAATGTGCCTCTGTACGTACAATCTTGTTCTTTTCCACATTTTTTTCAGTAGTGAAGTGTGGTAAGCTCATTCATGCTTAGAATGTTAAACTGAGACTACAGAGAAGAAAATAAAGCATTACTTAAATGGACACAGTAAATTTAGAGTTTGGGTCTGGGACAGCACCATAGCACTGCAACAGAGAAACAGAACTGAGTTCAAATAAAAAATACTTATTTTTCCTTTAAATGTATTCTCACAACATAGTTTTGCAGAATAGCATTTCTGAAACAGTGTTTGAAATACACAAAGAGCATCCCCTTTAACACCAGGAATTCACTCTAGCTCCACTCATCTATTAACGACACACAAGATTTTATGTGCAATCAGACAAATGACAGCTACAGAGCAGACTCTTCTTTGAAAATGCTAATACAGCTGACAATGTGTTAACTTGTTTTCTCTGTTCTCTGAACACAAAGTGAAAAAGCAAAGCAGTTACCTGAAAAGCATGGAACAGACACGTGATTTGGATCAAGATCATTGGCAGAAGAGCTGCAAGAATGGTACTTGCTAGTCACAAAAGGTCTTGCCAGTCATGGAGAAAGCCAAATACGGTCTGTACCAGCACTTGACAACAACGTTTTCTTCTAGAGTGGATTTCTATTGCCTATGTTTGCCAAAATAAGAATCCATTTTCATCTGGAGATGTCTCATTCAAATGCATCCCAGGGCACTAGCCTATGATGTCAACCCAAAAAAGCACTGCATAAGCTGTCCAATTGACAGTAAACAGTTACAAGGTATTAACAAACTCCACAGGATCCAAGCTATAGTCATGAGCACCCACCAGCTGTTTCTGACCCACCTACAGTAAAACATGTTGACAACACCTACCCAGCTGTTTATAAGTAACAGAAACAAATTAGTGCCTAAAAAAACCATTAATCTGATCATTTTGTCTGTCTTCCTGCCTTACCAAAGCTCTTGAACTTCCCCTGCTGAATCTTCTCTCAGCCTCGTAATGTATGTTACAATTAACACACACAATTCAGGGAGCCAGGAATGAAAAATGGAAAACAAAGATTATGCATCAAAGGGCCTCCCAAACACTTATGGTATGAAACAATGCATATGTCTCTCTAGCATGAAAAAACATTTTGCATGATGCTTTCTATTTAACACATTCACTGAAAAGATGGTGGAATGCAATTTCAAATGTAATCTAGCCAAATAATTTTGTTATGAAACTCGCATAAGAGATCTCAGTAGCATATGCAAATACAGTTTAATGTACAACTTCTTGCATATAAAATGTTTAGTTTCATTTTTACCCAAAGTAAAAATACAACATTTCAACAGGAAACGTAACTTTCCAACCTGCAAAACCGTGAGAAAACATTCTTTAAAAAGTTTTTAAACACAAGTGCCCTGTAATTGTGATAGAATAGGTCCTATTCCGCACTTTATTACAATTAAAACAATATCAATGAAGTGGACACTTGGAAACTGTCTTAACTGTCAGGCACAAAACAAAAGACATTCACAAAAGCTTTTAATTTTGCAAAAGAAAAGAAATCAGCTTGTAGAAACCAAACATTAATTAACTGGGCAAATTCTAACTAATTTCTGCATTATAGTTTTGAGTATCTATGACAGATTTTTAACACACTGAGCAGATTTTGATGCAGAACCTCAGAAGCATTTTGGTTCTCACTTTTTTTTTTATGCTGAAGTATTTATAGATTATGAGCTAGTTTAAAATTAGTTCAGGTTGCAACTAATTAGTCAAACTGCAGGAAAAGAAACAAATTTTTCTCACCCAGGTGATGCTCCTCTTTCTGTCTCTTTTCCCATTTTGAGCTGTCTGCATAGGCTGCAGAAAGAAGAGATCTTCTACCTAAAGAATAACAAAATCACTAGGTAAGCCAGGTTGCTTCAATATCTTTAAACAAACTAAGAATTAGATGTCACATTTTTCTGTCACATTTGCTGAACTGAGTGTATTAAACCGTCTTTATGACAAAATTGTCAGCAGCAGCTACCATAACAGTTCAAGTTCCTTGTGTGTGGATGAGCCATTAACTTCATCATTTTTAAAACAGAAAAGCTTTCCCCTAAAAGTCCTTTTTCAGCATGAAACAAAACTTCCCAAACCTGAAGTCCATATTTAAGGAAAAGATAAATTTGTAAAGGTAGAAAAAAAACATGCAAGCAACAATAAAGGATAGCTGTTTTGTGCACCGTTTTCATCAAAAGCTAGCAATTAGCTAAATGTAAGCACAAAAGCATATGCAAAAAAAAAAAAAATACGCACAAAAAGGCTTTTTGTTGCTATTGGATGGTTATTTTTTTCCCACTTGTAAAGATCTGTCTCATTGGAAACAAAAGGTAGATGCTTGTCTGGAAATACCCCATTTTTTATCAGCTCCTTTTTTGCAACTCCTTTGAATTGCAGAGTTCACACAAATGTTTTTGAAAGTTTTTTTCCAAATACTCTTTGTACCACCTTTGAAATCTGTTCTACACAATCCTTTGAAGTAAAATGAAAAATGCTTCAGCTGGAAGAACAAACCATGTTTGTGAATCACTCACAGATGGAGCCCTTGAAGATACTTAAAATTTTTTGATGGACAATAAAGAAATAAGCGCAGAAGGTTGCAGAAGTTAATGTTAAGAAGCACAAAATATTTTAAAATAGACATTGCTTGCTACACAGAATTCTTTATCTGAAAATCTAACTGCTGCTGCTAAAAGTTTGCTGTTCTTGGGTGTGAAACATTTTTTCTCCTTACCTTCCCTCTGACATGCAATTACATGCACAGATCCATTTTGCAACACCTTTGCAATTTTTTTTGTCAAAGAGCTGGTATACAGAATTCCAGTCAGAATATGAGAATACATACCACACCTTACCAAGCAGCTAGGAAATAAGAAAAAGTACTTTTGTTTGTTTGGTGAGGTTTCTTTAAGCCATTTTTCGTTGTGTTGATAAAAGTAGCACACAAAGATCGGGCGGTTGGCTTTTTCCTTAGGATAAACGTCTGTACGCTCATTGCACAGCTAAGGATGACGCTAGCAAGCATGGGGGCTCAGAGAGCTATTTTCCGCAGTACAAGCAACTGTCTACGGTATAGGTTTGCGCAGGAAAGCTGGGGGTCAGCGTCAGAGGAAAGGGTGGAGCTCCCGAGACAGGGCGCCGAACTCCCGGGACGCAGCACCCAGGCATGTCAGCTCCGGGAAGCTGAGAAGGCAGGCCCGGGAACGCCGGGCCATGAGCCGGCACGGGGAGCAGCCACGGAAAACAAACCAGGAATGCTCGTCCCTTTCCCCCCACCCCAGGTTAGATATTCGCCGTTGGCGAAGTTGTTCTACAAACACGTATCTACACATATCAATGTACACGCGCACACGTATGTATTTAGGTTAAAAGGCAAAGTGCCCGCGATGCCAGCAGCACCCACGGCGACGGGAGGGCCTGTCCCGCCAGGGCCCG